ATTTAAATATCGTGTAAAAATTCTATATTATTGTATCCCAGTATTGAAAGAAACAATATGATAAGAAATGGCTTCAACTTGTTTTGAAACTGAGGCGTAAAAGGTTACCAGCGAAGATATTCCGTCTGGCATCAGTTAAACCATTATTGGCGACTTTATCGTTTGCACCGGCAAAACGGAAAAGTACCCAATTATGTTTTTGAACCCCACAATAAACAACGCAATAATGCCAAAAGTTAAATTAGCTATTTAAATAATCAAATCTAATTATTTTGCATATAAATAGTAATTAATTTTTCATTAATGCAGTCCTGCCTCTTTGTATCTAAAATATGCAACAAACATGTGGTGTAAATTTGCATGCATGTATATAAAGGTAATATTTAAAAAAAATTTTATGAAATTGTGCAATGAAATTCAGTGACGAATTTATGTACAACGAGGGATCGTCTCATATGAATTTTTAAAAGCTCCTTCTCAAATAATAAAAGGTATGTTTACTATTTTAAAAAAATTATTAAGGATTTTGGGAGACCTGGAAACATCAGGCTCTTTTGATCGCGACTTGCTCGATCTCATAAACCCGCTATTTATGAAATTAATTTTTATTCATTTAAACACACAATCTATTTATATTTCAGTTAAAAATATAAAGAAAAGTATTTTATTAGACTTAAGTTCTAGAAACAGCAGGAATAAAAATTCCCTGCTGCATGCCAAAACAGTAACAATAGTATTAAACTATCAAAAAAGCCCTAAGTTCTAAGCTCTACAAAGAAACCTACGCTAGCCTAAGCTCTGCAAGGAGCAAACAGTAAGTTAATGAACAGCACGTAATTTCTTTTGCGTTTATGTTTTTAAAACAATTATTCACAACTAATCATCAAATCGCTATATTTTAGCTTGAAATAACTTATCAATATTTTAACATATTATGTATTACTGTGTTATATTTTCATGGCCTTTAAAAAATGAAATATATATATCTATATATATTTACTAATATATAAAGTAAATAAATTTAGAAACAATTGAATTTTAGCTGGAGTAATACGTTATGTAGATAACTGGAGATCTGGATTACTGAAATTCTACAGTATGTGTTTTTAACATACTGTAGTACACCGGCGCAAAAAATAGTAAGTATTGTATGTTTTCCAGCACACTGTAATTATTACTCTTCCGTGCCGAAAACTTGTATGGAAACACTGCTGCATTCGCATGAAATCGAAAACTTATTAACTTGAAAACCCTTTGCAGTATGAAGTCGATAAGAAAAACCAGCAATTAATTAGTTAACAAGAAAGGTCTTCAGGACTACTTGCCTTAGGCGATGGATGTTTTCGTAAAGGCCTTTCAATGAGCAGACGGAAAACTCCATGCAGTCAACTTGCTTATATAGATATCAAAACACCTGGGAAATTACCATATTTAGCGGATTTAATTGCTTAACCATCGAAGAACTAACCGTTGAAGCGAAATACTCTTCCAATATTCTTACAAATATCTCTACAAGGATGTTCTCATGTTCTGGTACACTTGTGAAAGTATCTTATATGTACAACAACCTAGGCAAGGTAATATGTTGCTATGTTTGCTTTTAATGAATTGAAAATAATAGGATAAAAGTGTTTTTGCAATAATAATCGAAACTTTGTATATACAGTATGTTCAAAATATAAGAATAAATGCAAAAATATTTTAATTCCACTTTTAAAGAGAATCGAATTATTTCCGAAAACTTCGAAAGAAAGTATTTGTGAAAAATGTCAAAGAAAAAGATGTCTACGATGAATCATTAAGGCGAGGTGCTCATTCGGTTGTTGTTGCTGGCAAAGATTTTCTGAATAATCCTAAGTGTTCTAGTATTCGTTTGAGAATAAATTCTGAGTCATACTGCTTTAGCCATTACATATTTGTTTTTAATCTGTTGAAAATGCTGTTAATCGAAGCTTGCATCTAGACAGTTCAACATATAAGAAGGAAAGTCGATAAGTTTTCATTATACTTTTAATAGAGACGTATTATCGCCCAAAAGTTTTAAAAGAAGAAAGTTGCTCAAAAATTCGCGTAAGATAATACACACTAGAGTGGGAGACATACTAAGAATAATGTAGTTAAAAGAGCAGCATTTATAAAGAAGCTATTATAAGCCTTACAGGGTTATTATTACTATTTTATTTAACCAGTTATTTATAATATCAGTCTTTACTGTCACTTCTGTTTTCCGGTTCCCTATCAGAAGGCAAATTACCCCTTGAGGAGTATTTAAGTTGAGGTTTCGGATTATAAGGCAAAGTGGGTTTCTACCTCTCGAGGCTACGATACATTCGTTTGCTTTGTTACGATAGTAATTCTTCGGCTCTGTATTATTGCTGCCGACGTTTTAAATTGTTACCCCGGTTAGAAGTTTTTGAGCCAACTTCGCGTTAAATAAATTGTGTAGTCCTTGACTACTAGGCTTAGTTTTAATTTAAATTTGACTGTTATTTTAAGTTACCTAGCCACAAGTGGTGATTTAGCTTGTCAAGCACGAGAAAGACGTTATATGCTGAAGTTCTGATTTAATATTAAACCTTTTCGAGATTCTGTTGTTATTACACACACAGCGATAATTCGTTGTAAGTCTGTTAGGAATTTGACGTTAGTTTAGGCTTCCAAACTCTATAATCTGAATGAGAATTACAGATTGCAAATTAATTAAATAAGCTAAAGCATAACAACTATGCTTTAAATACTTACAAATATATGAAACTTAATTGAGCAATAATCTTTATGAACTGGTGTATGATAAGAATATTTAAGCCATATATATCTGTATTACTCTTTCTTGTTTTCAACGAGCATTTAATTATAGTATAAATGCTGATAGAAACTTTTAAAACTTTGGGGAAGCTTTACTGTCTTTTTACAGTTTTAATATTTCGTTAATGTTATTTAATTAAACACATTTAGTCACCCTATAAGGTTCTGTGTTCCTCCTTACTTGCTTTGGGAACATTAACTGTCCTGACTCGGAACAGGGAGCATACTAAAGCTATGTTCAATAAATTTGGGAAGTAGACAATACACACAGGAAGGGTATACGGAACCCTTTATTTTTCTCCCTTTACAATGATTTCCGGAACTTCGGAATACAGAGACCAACCACTTGTGGTCGGAACGTAATATAAAAAATATTAACTAAAAATCTAACTAAACTAACTTTGGATTCATAAACAAGTGCCTACTTGAAGATTGGCCGTATATTAACAAAAAGCCGTATGTAGTACAGAAAACTGCTAACACTACGATACGTTTAAAATTATCAAGAGGATTAAACCTCTGGCCTTGAAGGCAACCAGCAGCCGAGTAAACTACTATGGCAAGCGGCCTGCTTCTAATAGCTCCTTCCTCTCTCTTGCTTGGCAAAAAGCCACAACTTAAGTACTTGGCGTTCGCCAGACAAATTTGCATAAATAAGTTAAAGCTTTTAATTCTGGCCGGATGTAGAAAATAAGAAGTGATAGTAAAGATTTAAAACAAAATAAACGTTAGTAAAACTTAGGATCCTTACAACCCTACTGACAAAAGCAGGGCCATTAAATATGGACAATTATGTTGTACAAAACTAAGAGAACTCTTTAACATGCAGAAGGGATATAACGGCGAATATGGGCGTATAATTTTTAGTTCGTTTTAACCGAAAAGAAAAATATATATTTTAGTGACGACTTTTTCTCAGAACTTGAAAATGTGGGAAATTATTGAGCTTTGTCATTTTTCTCATTAAATATTCCTTTTTTTTAATATCTAACTTCCTTTAAGCAAAAGGAAAAAGCTCTGAAAAGCGTCAAAATTATTACTCAGTATTTTAGTACATCAGAATTATGAGAAAGTAAGTACCAAAATACTTCTGAAGTAAACTTTCTGAACTTCTTCGTGACTTTTCATCTAATAATTTCCTTCTTAGAATACGCAACCAGTACTTATTAGATGCAAATTCAAATTGATTTAAGTTTCGCACTTTGATAATCATAAAAATGCTTATGTAACTAGTAATTCTTATAAGAATGTAATTCCTAATACACATAGTTTTATTTAAAAGGCTACATATAACTAAATAGCTTTATTACACAAAGAAGTTCAGTAAAAACGTATTATTCCCATCTGAATTTAATTTCTGAACTTTCTGAAATGTGCTGAGCAGTTATTATTTAATTAGATGCAATATAAAATGATGTTTTATAAATGCTGCTTTTGATTAAGGCAATTTTTTTCATATGTAAAAGTGTTTATGGCGAATAATGCAGGAAACCACTTTTCTCATGCAAAAAATATAAACTTTTCGCATGAGAAAGATGTTTTTTTTAAATATAACAAAATTTTTTTTATAATTTCATTATATTTTTTAAATATAACAAAAGCTTTTATATATGACCACGTGATTTTGACATCTAACATGCAAGCTTTTTTTTTAATGACTTAAAAAATGGGATGTTAATGGGAGTTAAACCTTATTGCGACATTGCTCTGCTGTAACCTTTGCAACAGTGAATTTATTAGTTAAATTTAAGCTGAAATGGATTTAGAAATTTGAACAAAAAATGATTTGGCTAAAAATATTACTAAATAAAGGTACTCTAATACTTTCATTTAGCTGATGAACAAAAGGCGTAGGGAAGTAAAGTTTGAGTATTAATGTCCAAGCTGCTACTTGTGGCTTATGCATTAATATAGACAACAAAAATATGTCTTTCCATAAGAAGTGATTTCAGAAAACCCTCTTCCTTTATAGCCCAAATGCTCACATAATGTTTTCAACATCACTTTTCTTTGTTACATGACATAAAAAAAGAGTCTTTTTAAAAAGAAATTAATGGCAAACAATGAAAAATATTTCTATTTGACATACGCATCTTCGCAGACTATTTAAACATTGACTAAGGCTTGGCTTAGCATCATTTCCCATAAATCGTTTTGCAAAATAAGCGTTTGGGGACTGAAAGAAATCTGCTTACCTGAGACGATGAAGGATATGTGTAACCAAACTGGGAGTACGACATGGCTGTATCCGGGCGTGGATGGACGGATTAGAAAAAGAACTTGATGCTGATTACGCGGCCGGCGGACCGGTCAGGATTTTCCTCTTGATATCATCACGTCTGGAGGGGACACTTTCTCCTCTTCGTCGGCAACCGACCCTCCACAACATCGCAATCCAAACAAACCATCTTTCTCATCGCTGGTGTAAGAAGGAGAAAACGAATCGAGCCTGAGTGGTCCCACGGGTGCAAGAATAGACAAGATGCATCGCAGCGACAATGCAGTCGGTGGACTGAATGTTCCTGTTATCCGGATGCTGAAAAAAATACAATCGGGAGCAGCCGTATCCGTTCTGGAGATGTCGCTGAAAGGTATAGAACACTCGCGCGTGGCCGTATCATCTGAACCGGTAGCTCTGCCTCCACTGCACCTCCTCCACATTCATCCATCACTCTGAGCCGTCGCCACGCCTTCGCACTCATGATTGGCAACCACCACGCTCCGCCCCTGTCGCCTTGGATACAAGCGCGTGCAACAACAATCGTTACGCGACTGTTACGATAGCGGCACGGCCGGACATTATACGCGGAGGAAAGGTCGCGTGTAGGAGACCTACCTCTCGTTCCGCGCGACCCATCAGCTGTTCCGCATAGAAAATCAGACCCCATCTTAGAAGCGGCATCGATTATCGCAACTCCCCGTTCTCTAATAGTCTTAGCTCGATTAATAGCCGAGTCAGAAACAGGTTCCTTCAAATCGTTACATGAGCTGACAAAAGAAGCGGTTACTTTTTTCACGCAACCGGAGGCTGTTGAATTTGGGCTCATTTTCCGTAATAACTGTTATCGAGAACTTGACCATCAGTGGATCTTTTATTGGTTCAGTTGAGTCATTCAGCTATCGTATGCTGTAAGGAGAGTACTGAGACTTCTGTTGCTCAGAGTCATCCTCAATTTGGAATATCATTTCCAAATCTGATTTCGAACCTACTTTTATACTGTGATAATATGCATTAGTTAATTAGGACTCTGAGAGCACAATCCATTTCCGTAAACTTTTTATAAAGCTAAAATTAAAATATTGCATTTATCGGAATATTAGTATCTTTACATATATAATACAAAAATAGATTTTTAATTGACATATGTTTATAAATTTTTCAATGATTAGCTCATTATTACAAATTACAAATCTGAAAGTCATTATCATTGAAGCCAGGAATTAACAGTGTAGTTACTAGATGATTCAGTTGTTCTAAAACTTGGAAGAAAACCAAAATTACAGAAATAAGTAAAAGCAAAGTTACCTAAGCTTTATGAATGTGGAAATCACAGAGCAATCAAATTAAAAAAGTAAAAGGCAAATTAAACTTTCAAAATTAAATTTCAGTTTAGGTTTGAGACAGAAAATAGCCAACAGATAATATGGGAACAAAGTATGGTACCAAACAATATGGCACAAAAAATATTGAAAATCACAGTAAAATATTTATTAAAATGCAATCAATAAAAGAGCTAAACGTTAAATGCAATCTTTAAAACTGAAGTTTCAAAATAAAACTTCAAAATAAATTATAATAGATAAAACGATAATTGCCCAATACAGTGTCCTGTAATTTTAGAAAAAGCGGAAATAAAATACAGTTTTAAAAAACTAGGCAAAATTAAAATAGGAATAGTTTATCACTCTTGACTAATATTAATTCTATGCCCGCTGTTGAAGAAAGTCGAGTAATGTGATAGACTATAGAGTCGATTTTCAAATCATCATTGAGCAATTTGTTTCTAATTACGAAATGAGTATTTGCATTTTTACTCTGTACTATTTGAAGTTTTTGGCAGTCCGTATTTGAGACTCAGGCTCGGGATGGAGATGAGCAGCATAGAATTATCCTCATATTGCATAAGTAAATTCTTATCTTTGGATTATTTTATATTATTTAAATTCTTATCTTTCTTTTGAGAGATAGTCCAGAATAGTTTCCGAGGAGGACAGACAGTTGGCTGGTCCTACCACAGGCTTTTCCTATGAAGTGATTAATATGATAAGTACAACTTCAGTCGGGAATCTATTACTTTTGTGCCAAAATTCAATTTTGCAAAACTATAAACAAACTGAAATATTTAACTTTATTTTTAGTTACATCGATGATCAATCACATTTCATAATTCTGGTTTAATGGAAATCTTATCTGCCCAAAATGTTTTAAATTTAATAAAATAACTACCATTAGTACATAAGGTGGTTGATTACTTTGACATTAAAGTTTTCAACTGTAAGAAAAATTACACTTTTTGACAGAAGAAGACTTTTTAGCTTTAATAGCGATAAACTGATGTATGATAATTCCATTATCTCTAAAAAATATTTGAAAAGACTATAATCAACCAAATTTTAAGAATTAAAAATATTTGCACTAAAATTTAATACTTTCATAAAAAAAAATCAGCTTCTCAAATTTCCACTTATTAATAATAAAATTCTTAATTCCTTTAACTTACAGCTTCAAAAACTGCATATTAGTTCGTTTTAGTTTTTCATGTTACTAATGATAAGAAATACTTAAACCTGCTAAGGAGGAGTTTACTGGATGCGTAATAATTGTAAACATGGTAAATATTTTCTCTATCTGTTAATAAAAAAATGGCCATTTCTGTTCCAGCCCTATTCTACATCATATAGATGTATATTTTTTACCGTCAACTATTTGCTTTTCACAGCCTTTCTTCTGCTTCTCCAGCTAATTAATTTTGAACTTAGTAATAAAATTAAATTCTAATCTATGATCTACTCCAAATTAAAATTTAAAAATATAAAATGTGTTCCTAAAATTTGTTTTTGCTTTTAATTATATAATAGTAATTAATTTTTTTACAATTTTACACTACATTAAGCTTCAATTTTTTACAGTTTCAAACAATATTAATTTATGCACTAATACCTTTAATATTATTTTCATTTATACTTTACAGCACTGACGCTACTCAACTTGAGGCATAAATGCGTTTCAATCGCTATTCATATCACATCTGCAATGGTTCGAGTTCCGGTGAGGAAATTGCTCATTTTTCATGTCTCCTTCTTCCAAATAACATAAGGCCCACCAGCGGCCGAGCGGTTCGGTCCGAGGTTCGAATCCCGCGAACGGGCTGGTGCATGGGTGTTTTCGTGGTTTTCCCCATGTGTAACGTGTATACGAGTCAGTTTCCTTAGAAAGTCCTCCACGAAGGTATCCCTCCCCTTAGGCAGATAGCCCTCGAGGCTTTACCATAATCACACACACTCCAAATAACATAATATCTCTGTAGTGGCGCTCGAACTAAAAACGGTGGTAGATGATGATTCTCCACCACCAGGATTTCGGCATCTTTTAAAATAGGCATCTTCTCGTTCTCGGCATCTTTTAAAATAACTCATTTTATGCTTCTGCACCTTAACTGTTGTTTCATACCTTGTGCATGTATAATTTTTTTAGCCAATCATATTTTCGTCCGTACTCGTGCATACGAGAATATTTTCACTGAAACCGTTAGATAGGTAAACTCATTGCTTATTTTCCCTTTTATGAAAATGTTTCGGTCTAAAATTTTCCAATATAATAATATATAATATGCAATTTATTTTTATTGCATTGGTATATTAAAATATATATAATAATCAGTTTTCAACATATTGTTACGTTATTTTCTTCCTTCACGTTCGTAAGGGGTTCGTAGATTAGGAGTGAATAACGACGGCACTCGATGAAGTATCGAAACACACTTTATTTAGCCAATATTAGTCAGAACAGCTCTAATAACACTTTTTACAGTTGTCGAAGATCTACTCTAAACACGCTGGAACAATCAGCGACACAGCCTTCACACTGTCAGGCAATAACGGTGGAGGCAACTTCACTGCAAAGCTCCTACTCTGCTCGGTCGTTCTCGGAACTTCACGTACTCTCCAGACTCTCCTCGCTACAACTCGCGATGCACTCGACGACACACAGAGCACAGCTCCTGACTCTTCGATTCAGTCGTTCCCGGACCTTAACACGCTCTCTCGACGATGCACTAACCACGATACACTAAGAGACTCTTTCGGTGCACTCGACGACCCACTCGCTGGCCGGCTGTCAACTCGATCGACTCCGCATGGCTCGCTAGACGAGACAACAACTCGATATTAACTAACTGACTGCGGACCAGCAGGGTTTATATAGCTCTCGGCTTGTGTTCGAGAACATTCTGGGCTAAACCGGTAAGAATTCGTTCCAGAAGGTTCTTTATCCATCCATGTTATATCACAATTTTGTCGCCAAATGTGGCAACCCTGTCTTCCCTTGTATTTTATAGCAACCCTAAACCTGCTTTGCGGGAAAGCTATCTCACCGCCCCTGTACATTTCGTAACAATATTCTACCGTTTTCCTAAGAGCTTATTAAAACAGCTCCTAACCAAACCAGTGCAGTATAACAATACAAATAAACAAAAGAAAAAAGAGATGGTAAACTACAACTTGCAACTGATTCTTAAGAAAGGTGAAATGTGAAGAAAAGCTAATACTAATTACGGGATTGAATAAGTGTAAAGAATGAAGATGAGGAATGATTAACTCATAAAATACCTTTATACGTTTACCTGTGATAATAGCTTAAGAAATGTAAACGGTAACGTGTACGAATATACATGAAGTTTGATAATGGGACAGTAGATTTCAAAGTTTTCACTGAATAAATTTAGAAACAAATGATGTAATAAATATCAGTGAAACGCTGTCATTCTTTACTTTCCTAAAGTTTTTGGTGAAAAGAATGCATGGGGCAAAATATGCTGAGAACCAATGCCTTCGGTATTCCATGAGAAAAGCCGCCTCATCGATAAAGTGCTTAGCGATGCCAGCTGCCGTATCGTTGTACCCGCTTTCGAATCTTAAAGGAGGTTTGGATGTTTATAAATGTATAGCGCCTATGCTGCATGAAAGCACTTGCAATTCTGGCTAGACGCATGTTCTCTCGAGAGGTTTGGTAGTAGGGAAAAAATAAATAAAAGACCCTCATGCTCTCTACCAAAACTTGTGCGGAATTCCCTTTTATCACGGATATTAGTCGGTGGCTCCTCTGGTGCATCCTGGGCAAAATTCTGTAGCTAAATGACTGATGGATATTGACCATTTGCGATGAATGCAACAAGTTACAAATGTCCGACTATTTGGAGTAGGAACAACAACAATGTTTATACGAGGGCACGGATAACGAAAGTTTGAGATGGAAATGACCCTCGAGGGTTATTTCCAGTTAGCACTGAAAGGGAAATAAAATAGCCACGGCTGTTTTGAGAAAAGGCTCAACTGAAACATCGTCAAGAACATCAGTTATAAAGAAACCACAAAATGGCTAATTTTGCCTTCAGACCAAAATTACGTACTTTATG